TTCTTAAATTAAAATTGTTTGATGCAACAAGTGATAGCTGTATGAAACAATTTGCCGCAGATTTGACAAATTACACATTGTTAATTGTTACACCCAACCCTTGATGTGAAAGGCATTTAACATCTTCGAGAAATGGATATGGAAAAAGGGCCAACCCCTAGCTGACCTGGAGTAGAATGGTTTCTGCACAGCTCTTCCATGATGAGCTGTTAAAGCTGATATTGACTCTAGTAATTGAGGATTGTGAAGTTCATGAGCAGCTTCATTGGCTAAATTGGTCTCTTCACTACATAATAATGAGTAAAAATAATCTAAACTCAAGGGCTGCAAATTTGTCCTGATAGCTACTATGAAGGCTTGGTAAGTAGAAGGGAGACAGTTGACTGTAGAAGAATAATATGCTCAGGATCAGTGCGTGAATCAGCGGCTACAATGATATAAACCTTTGATTTGATATCCAAAAGGTATTGTTGCATTGATTGAGTTTTCATCAAAATGTGGTGCAACTCATTTTTTGATTGAATGATGCAAGGGCCATTTGTAGACTGTAACCTTTTATGCATAGTGTTCCAAATTCCAATTCAGGAATTTAGGTTCAAAATATAAGAAAATAAGGAAGCTGTTATTGTTGAACATAGTGCAGAAACTACGTTCTGATCAAACAACATCCATGAATAATAGTTGGGATTCTTGCTTGCTTGAATAAACTGTCGAGCTGGCAAGTACTAGAACCATCAAGAGAACCTTGAGAACCATTTGCTCTGAACACTTTGCTTGCTAGGTAGCAGGTTGAGAAGAATCATCAGCCAGCAATGCTTGAGATGTAGAATTTTTTTCTTAAATTAAATTTGTTTGATGCAACATGTGATAGCTGTATGAAACAATTTGCCGCAGATTTGACAAATTACACATTGTTAATTGTTACACCCAACCCTTGATGTGAAAGGCATTTAACATCTTCGAGAAATGGATATGGAAAAAGGGCCAACCCCTAGCTGACCTGGAGTAGAATGGTTTCTGCACAGCTCTTCCATGATGAGCTGTTAAAGCTGATATTGACTCTAGTAATTGAGGATTGTGAAGTTCATGAGCAGCTTCATTGGCTAAATTGGTCTCTTCACTACATAATAATGAGTAAAAATAATCTAAACTCAAGGGCTGCAAATTTGTCCTGATAGCTACTATGAAGGCTTGGTAAGTAGAAGGGAGACAGTTGACTGTAGAAGAATAATATGCTCAGGATCAGTGCGTGAATCAGCGGCTACAATCAGCAGCTATAATGATATAAACCTTTGATTTGATATCCAAAAGGTATTGTTCATGGATTGAATGTTCATCAAAATGTGGTGCAACTCATTTTTTGATTGAATGATGCAAGGGCCATTTGTAGACTGTAACCTTTTATGCATAGTGTTCCAAATTCCAATTCAGGAATTTAGGTTCAAAATATAAGAAAATAAGGAAGCTGTTATTGTTGAACATAGTGCAGAAACTACGTTCTGATCAAACAACATCCATGAATAATAGTTGGGATTCTTGCTTGCTTGAATAAACTGTCGAGCTGGCAAGTACTAGAACCATCAAGAGAACCTTGAGAACCATTTGCTCTGAACACTTTGCTTGCTAGGTAGCAGGTTGAGAAGAATCATCAGCCAGCAATGCTTGAGATGTAGAATTTTTTTCTTAAATTAAATTTGTTTGATGCAACAAGTGATAGCTGTATGAAACAATTTGCCGCAGATTTGACAAATTACACATTGTTAATTGTTACACCCAACCCTTGATGTGAAAGGCATTTAACATCTTCGAGAAATGGATATGGAAAAAGGGCCAACCCCTAGCTGACCTGGAGTAGAATGGTTTCTGCACAGCTCTTCCATGATGAGCTGTTAAAGCTGATATTGACTCTAGTAATTGAGGATTGTGAAGTTCATGAGCAGCTTCATTGGCTAAATTGGTCTCTTCACTACATAATAATGAGTAAAAATAATCTAAACTCAAGGGCTGCAAATTTGTCCTGTTAGCAATTATGAAGGCTAGGTAAGTAGAGGGGAGACCATTGACTATAAAAGAAATATATCCTCAGGATCAAGGGGTGAATCAGCAGCTATAATGATATAAACCTTTGATTTGATATCCAAAAGGTATTGTTGCATTGATTGAGTTTTCATCAAAATGTGGTGCAACTCATTTTTTGATTGAATGATGCAAGGGCCTGTTTACCATAAAAATAATAATAATATAAAATAAAATTTAATTAATTAATCTTTTAAACCCAAATCCTCAATTGCTCCCGCCGATTGAAGAGTGCTCGTTCTAATAACCATTCCCCCTCTTCACATACGAGGGCTTATTTCAAAACAGTCGAAGCCCCCACAGCCTTCATCCTCGCTGTTACAAAATCGATATTGAAGTCCTTCCTGGAGGATCTTCTTCTTCGAATCTAAACCCTTGCCTTTCACCACTGCTCGCAAACAGAAGCCTGCTTGAGTCTTCCTGCCTTCATCCTCATCTCTTAATTTCCTACTTTTATTTATTTTTTTATGGTCAATTAGAGATGATGAGTGTGAGGGAGTTGAGTTCAATTTCTGTCCGAGAATATAAAAGCAAGAGCAGTTCCAACATCCTAGAGTGAGAGTAATAAACAGGATGCCTTAATTTATCTTAATTTTTTTTTTATTTCTTTATTGGTCAACAACTTCTTAATTAAACTCATTTTGTTCCACATAAAACAAATCCAAATCATTAACTGACAGACAAACCTAAGAACAACAATGGCAAAAGAATTCTTCCTAAATTAAAGAAAAACTCTCTTGCATCTATGATCACAAAGCTTACAATAAAAAGAAAACATTCAAAATCAGTTCATGGAAATAAAACACAAATCATGTTCTGTAACTGCCTTTCTATCGTCTGAAATCAATGAATGGATATAAACTGGTAAGTCAAGATTTTCACAGCACTTTTTCCGCAATATGAGACACTGATTTTGTCAAATCTGTGAATAGAGTTTATTAGTGTATTTATTTCTATTTCTTTGAACATTAAAATAAGATGGTGCTATTGTCTAACAATGAGTATGTTGGCATTAGTTCTTTTATGAAACTCGAGAAGCTGAAGAGGTTTTTTCTAGCAGTAGGAATGCAGAGACGAAGAATATTATGTTACGAATTTCAGAATAAAAAAAAATTATTTTCATGTCGTAGAAAGATCTGCAATAATTGAAGAGAGCATATTTATTTTTTCGCAATATTATAATATAAAATTCTTTAAACAAAAAAGTAAACATGATAATTATATAAAAAATTCAGATTTAAAAAGTATTTCACAGATCTTCTAAAAGCCATTTATCGATTTTCATTCTTCTGCTTCTCAATTAAACTCAATATGTTCCACAGAGAACAAATACAGATCATTAACTGACAAACAAACCTATGAACAACAATTCCTAAATTAAACTAAAACTCCCTCCAGAAAAAAAAAAAAATTGAAACTAAAACTCTTTACATAGAAAAAGAAAACATTCAATATCAATTCATGGAAAAAAGAAAACACAAATCCAATACCAAGATTGAGTTGTTCTGTATCTGCCTTTCTATGTTCATGAAATCATGGCTGAGTCAAGATTTTAATAAAAATTTTCCGCAATAGAAGAAACTCGATTCGATAAATTTGTGATAGAGTTGATGAATGTATTTATTTATATTTCTTTAAACATTAAAATAAGATGGTGTTATAGAGTATAAATGAGAACGTTAGCAGTAGTTTTTAAGGAAAATTGAGAAGCTAAGGAGGTTTTTTTCTAGCAATTAGGAATGCAGAGATGAAGAATTTTATGTTAGGAATTTCAGAATAAAAACAAATTTTATTTTCATACCGTAGAATGATCTACAATAATTGATGAGAGCCTATTTCTTTTGAAAAATATTATAATATAAACTTCTTTGAACAAAAAAGTAAACATGATAATTATAAATAAATAAATATGAGAATTATATAAAAACTTCAAACCAAAAAAGTATTTCATCTATCTTCTAAAAGCCATTTATCGGTTTTCATTCATTTGCTTCTCGATTAAACTCATTTTTTTCCACAAAGAACAAATCCAAATCAATAACAGATGGACAAACCTAAGAAGAACAATAGCCAAAGAATGATTCCAAAATGAAATAAAAACTCTTTCATTTATGATCAGAAAGCTTACATATAAAAAAAAACATTCGAAATCGGTTCACGAAAACAAAAATCAAATCAAATCCCAAGATTTTGAAAAGCAAAACACAAATTAAAGTTGAGCAAGATAATAAAATGAATAATATAGAAGAAAGAATCTCACCCACAATCCATGACTAGAAAAGAAATCTAGAGATCAAAGAACTCTTAGGCGTTGCCCTAACTATGAGGGATGAAGGGCCAGAAGGGAGTAGATTGAGAACATCATTTGGATTGGTGGGTTATATCAAGAGACTGTTTAAAAACACAAAAATAGAATTTACCTATTTTTTCTATTTTTTGTGTTTTCAGCAACAAATCAAAATGTATTTAAAAACATAATTATTAAAACAAATAATAAATAATAAACAATCATATTTTTGTTTTTATTTTTTTAAAACAAAAACTAAAAGAAAAAACAAAAACTGATTCCAAACAGGTCCTTAATTGCCATAGCTTATAAAGTTAAGTGGATCAAAAACATAAAGCTTAATAGATAATCACTTGCGCATTAACTTTATCACTTAAACAACAACTTAAGTTCACTTAACTAGAGGTTTATTTAGTTTATACATTTGATTGTTAAATTAATCAGCTTCCTTGTCTTTCAATGTGAGGGCTTTGAAAGAGTAGGTGGTCAAAATAAATCCCAAGTGTCCATGCGCATTCAATTTCAAAGTACCTTCCAAATAACAATATAGAGCCAGGAACGTAAAAGTAAGGCAAGAGAAGAAGACAATGATTGATCACAATGATGTTAGTTCACTAACATACAGTTACATGCGCACCTGATGAGTGCGTCCAGTTTCCAGTCTCCACTGCACCAGTGCGGATCCGCCAGCAGCAAAAACTTCCACTACTTTATACCTAGTGAAGTAAGGGAAAACAGGTGAGAATCTCCCCCGTGCCATTTAATAAGTACAGGGTCCCTAGATGGGAAGAAATGCCATGGATGAACCACTCAGCTACAAATGACCAACTATCACATCATCATCATTATCCCAACTATATATCTGGGATGAACATCATAAAAATAACCAACTAACACTTAAAAGGAAAAAAATGGAAGGAAGAAAAAATTAGAGGTAGAAATGGCGAGAAATGGAATAAGAGACGGAAAGTAGAAAAGGCATCAATCTAGAAGCATATCGCAAGATAACACTAGCGAATCACTGACAGTTGAGCGCTATGTCGCAAGCTTTGTTTTTAGCACATTTTTGGGCCCCTGGTTTACAAACTACCTCAATCCATCAGTGAAATTGGCTGCTGGAATATAGTTCATTGTCAAATTAAAATTCCCTGATAATTTCAAAGTATTCTGAACAAGAAAGCAAGCTCTCTCCCTCACCTAAACCACTCCCTTTTTAAAAATAGGTCTGAAAAAACAAGAATGCAGTGCATAGGTAATTATCAACTTAAATTTAACAAACTAAAAATAGGACTGAAAAAACAAGAATGCAGCGCGGGTGTCACTCAAGGTGCATAGGTAATTATCAACTTAAATATAACAAATTAATTAAACGCTGGGAAAAGAGCTAACGACTCTCTGAGAATTTATTGGAAGTTTTTTATCGAGAAAAGCTTATAGGAGACCAAGATGGGTGGCACTATTTATTGATCATTTGCATTAGAGGAAAAAAAAAAATTCAATGACACATGGAGCATCAATCACCTACTGGCAGCATATCGAGCATTTCTGCTGCTACTTGACACTGAAACAGCAGCCATACGGGTTCTGTTATTGCAATCACGAGCTATTGGGATCTCAATCCGTCCAGAACTTGGTGATGGGACTCCAGATGTAAGACTAACATATAGTCTATAGATAGTGTGCAGCTTGAATTGCTCAGCCAAATGCTTATGAGAATGTTCATCCTATCATTAAGAATAAAAGATGTTCAGCCCCCATTATATTTCAAAGAAATTTTAAACGAAGAAAGTATTGGTGAAGATAAAAGGAAAATGCTTAGATACAATACGCATCACAAGTCATTCATAAGTACACTATATAATACAGTTTATAAAACACAAATTTGGGCACTGTTCAAAAAGAAAGCAGAAAACTTGTCACAGGAAATTTCACAGGAAATTTGTAAAAAAAAAAAATCAAAAGGACATCCTCTGTGGAGCCAAAACATATTGCTGAGTTGATATTGATTTTTGTAGAAAGGGATTCATAACATTAGTAACCATTAAAAAGAGAAATGGCTTCAAAGCGTAACTGCTCTTATGATGTACATGATCATCCTTGTTTCAGTAAATGTAGGTTCGCAACTATTTTTTGAGTCACTGCAATACGATAGCGACAAATTTAACTTTGCACTGTAATCTCGAAAGAGAATCTTCACGATATTTGCAAGATTTTTTAGTTGCCCAATTACCAACAGCTTTAAATCAAAATGTCTCCAATTATGAAATCTTTTTATGCACATAATTGAAAAAGTCTATAATAGAATCCCCTTCATGAAATCAAATAACAAAACTTATAAAATTTGCACCATCAACAACAAAGCCCTGACTTCTTTTTTAAAATAGGCATCCTCTCAATCATCATCTAAGACAAAAAGTATATTAATGCACATAACATGCAAGTATATGTAAAATGATTAATGCTACACTAAAGAAAATAGAGGCAAAAGAAGTCTGGAAGTCACTGAATTGATGACATGGTGTAAATTTGAATACCCTGGGTCTAGAAGGCATTACATCCCAGCAACGGCGTGATGAAAAATATAAATCTGTTTTGTACTCACAAAAAAAGTTTGTATAAAGGGAAAATAAATAAAAAAGGCAGTAAAAAAAAGATCAATTTTATTCCATTTAATCAATAAAAGTTATAATTATATTCTAATAAAAGAATAGAATAACATCTACTGAAAACAATATGAAAGAACTGATTGCAAAATTAATACTAACCAAAATCCAAAGCAAATAATAGGTAACACAAACTAAAAAATGCCACAAAGTATCCTAATATTGAATAAATTGCTCATGTGATGACAGTTCACCTAATAAACTAATAGAATATGCCACAAGAAAACATCAACAAATGAGTTTGACCAATCAAACTAAATAAATAATTATTATTTATTAAATTATAAACGATAAAAGTATGACAGCATGTAGTATAAACAATAAAATGAGATAATATATTAGATATGCTAGTAAAGCAATCAATATCAGTTAATGATCAGAACTACAGTAGTAATACAATAGCAAATAAATTTCAATGGTTAATAATCTACGTTATCATTATGCTTTTGAACCATGAGTATAAGTGACTATAATCATGCACTTCTATGCAAAAGTTTATATTTCACAATATCAGGTATACATTTACATATCTACATATATCGATCAAAATTTCTTTTGAAGGTCATATATAGTAGAAACTTCCAATCAATTGCCAGTTGCAACCAAGCTAAAGAGAAATATTAAACTAATTTGTTATCTAAAATATTTACGCTCTACCAGACCTAACAATTCCATAAATAAATTGAATTAGTTAATATCATTATAAAATAATAATAACAATAGTAATCGTAATGTTAATAAAAAAGTGAATCCCTCCAAAATTCTCAAAAAAGAAATTCTAGTATTGACACCAACATGCCAAAATATGAATACAATTTTAAGCCGGGAATTGTCAAATCTAAGCTAAATAATAGTTTAACATAAAATTAAAATATGTCTACCTGAAATTATATATATATATATATATATATAGTATTCAAATATATTTAGTATAAGGGTATAGGTTAAAAAAATAGCAAAGAAGAAGCGTCTTACTGCCGCGGTTGTTTTATCAAGGGAGGTAAGGATTGATTATGAACAAGAAATTAGATATAAGTATAAGAGAAGGCTATGCTTGTTGTCAATCAAAGGAAGTTGGCAAATGCCAGAGGGGGAAAGAAGGAGATGATTACTTGATTTCTCAAAAGAGGGGTTTGGCAGCAGAAAAGTATCAGCTATAAAAAGGTGCTCCAACGACTGTTAAGGAGGAATAGAGTCTGCCTTGCGATGCCTAGCGTCCCCCTCCTTAAATCGGAAAGGAGGTACAAAAGGTGATCTGGAGAGCGAGAAAAAAACAAGTAGGATATGGCAAGGAGGAGAGAAGACGCGTGGCTGATTTGATCATCAGAGATCGTGTGAATTGCATGATCAGGAAGGTACAAGTGGTGGAAGTAATTGAAGAAAGAAAAAAAGAAAGAAGGAAAAGGTAGTCGCAATTCAGAAAAGATGGTGTGGCACTTACATAAAGATGAAGGACAGATGGTGCAACTCTTATAAAGTATCACCCATAAAAAAAATTTATTCCCCAAATGCCACTTTTTGAAGTCAAAACTCACACTTAGAGGACTTAGCCTGGAGCTTATTCTCCCGGCAATCAAACCCAATGCCTTTGTCTTCCTAAACGTGCAATTCGCACATTCTCCCACAACCAAATCAAGCATGCGCCTCTCCAGTCTTGCCATATCCTAGTCACGTGAACCAACTTCTTTTCTCACTATTGAAATGGTCTTGGTGTGCTTTGTTTCCCTATTTAAGGAAGGCAAGGCTAGGGCATCGTAAAATAGCAACTAGCCCTACTTCCTCAACAGTCGTTAGAGCCCCTCCTCATAGTCGAACTTTCTCAGCTATCAAACCCATTTTCAAATAAGCAAGTAGCCACCTCCTTGGCCTTTCCCCCTCGACGACAACCTCCAACCTCCTTTGATCAGAAACAAGCGCACCACTCTCCTATATTTTCATCTGATTTCTTATTAAACACCAATCCTTTCATCCAAGCTTTATAAGAGCATCAGAAACAAGCGCACCACTCTCCTATATTTTCATTTGATTTCTTATCAAACACCAATCCTTTAATCCAAGCTTTATAAGAGGAACACTATAGTAAGGCCATTCTTCTTCACTATTCATAAACCTATTCACTTATATATAAACGCCAACCACAATATATATATATATATCCAATAATGATTTCTTCAAGCAACAGAAAAGCCCAAATACTAAATGAACCTTTTGGGTTTAATGGATGGAGCCCACCAGTAGTGCATTTGGTGGTCTGGCGTTGATCATATCAATCGTACTAGTTAACTATACATATAGAAATGACAAGCTGCAAAGCTCCTTACAATTCAAAAGAATTTTGCAAGTATCTCCAAAGTACGTCAGCATCCCTGCGAATTCCTCAGAATGGGTCTACCCAACCACAATTATCAAGAGAGATCTTCCAATCAAACTCATCTACACTGCTTGAGTTCCTATTTCATACTCGTACGAGCTAGTTTGACCTCACCAAACTTGCTGAAAACTACTTGGCTACACCACCAAGCTCGACGAGCAACTCTCTGATGCAGAAGAGAATTCCTGTCATTCAACATACATACCATTATTTATTAACATTACAACAATCCACACTAACTGTCTTGTTGACGAGTTTGCTCCAGCTCCAAACTATATAGCCTATAACATGATTTATATTATTTTCTCGACCCTTGTGAGGATACATAAACTCCTGAGTATATAAATAAGAATAAAAGATAAAAGAGACATATCTCTCTCATTCTCTCTCAATCCTGCACTGTCAAAAAACTCTATAAAAATCCATCAGCTTCTTCTCACTCATTAAAAACCCCTCTCGGATTGTATGAGTTAACGAATTATAAGAGATCTCACGGCATAAAAAAATTAAACATCCAAAAAGTTGTGACCGTGGAACTCAATAACAAAATCTAGGGAGGATAGCTTCTATTCAAGGAGAAATGAAAGATGGATTACACTTAGAGTATTCATGACGCAACAGATAAAGGAAATCCGAGAATAAACGAATAAGAGGATAGAAGAAGTAAGGCAATAGATGTTCAGAACTCGTTCCAGAAAGTGTTTGAGAATTCGTACGGGATCGTCAGGTTCAAGGGCACAAAGACAAAGAACAACATAGAGACCAGCAACCCAGAGAAGAACCACCTCGAGTAAGGATAAAGAGAGCCCTGGATCCAGCATTAAAAGTTGAGGAAGATAAAGTTATGTGTCGTACATTTCCAGAGAAGAGACGTCAGAGTTCTCAAAAGATGAAGAAAGAGGAAGACGAAGAAGATTACTAGAGGATGCATTTTCCCAAGAAATCCCCTATCTACACTCTTACGAAAAAAGCGTTGATCCTAACAATTACGTAGCTTCTTTCGAATCAGAAGCATTTCTGCTACAAGTAAATGACGCTTTTAAGTACAGTTTATTCCTTACAGCACTTAAAAAGTCAGCTTTGTGCAGGCTCAACTAGTTAGTATGTGTCATTACCTCTTCGGTAAGTTTCGACAATGCTGAAAATCCACAGAAAAGCTCCTAAGCTTTGTTAAGAATCTGATAAGCTCCACTCAAAAGCCTACGAAGCTTTGTTACTAGATTCCAGAGCGAGATGCTCAACATCAAAAATCTCAATCCTTTTGTCTCATGCGACACTCGTGCAAGGCCTACATGAGGACCCATTCTGATATGTGCTTGACTTACAAAAGCCAAAAACATTAGTTGAACTCTTGGAAATAGCAAATGATCACATCTCAACCAAAGAATATAACTCTATGTGTAACCCCTCTAGCATCGAAAGATCGGAGTAACTCTATAAAAAAGACTCTCGGGAGCATTAGGAATTCAAACACAAATTCGCACACAAACCAGTAAGATGTCCCTAGGAGTTATCCCCGACCGCAGCAGCAATTGGAGCAGTCAAAAACGAGGCACGAGGCACCCCAACACTCTGCGTTGGAAATCACTCCCCTGCGAGTATCCATGGCCGAAATCGTTGAGTTCATTCAAAACAAAAAATTCTTCAAGAGGCTTTCACTGATAAAGTTCGGGAGCCTACAACAAAATCA